GTCGCATCTGAACAAATTAATTTCATAATCTATATTACGTGACACGCGATGGCGTCTTAGGAATAATTTGTTTTATTACTAATTTATAATACTTTTTTATTGATTAAGTATCTTATTAACCAATAAAAAGTAATTCCTTGGTTTTTACTGACATTTCTTGAATTATTTGTGCAATATCTAAGTACGCACGACGACATATTTTTATCACGAGATTTTTTTTATATCAACACAACACGTGTCAACTCTATAAGCGCCTAGCGAGTGACTGATTAAAGTGCGGTGTATGCACTGCAGTTGAATGGAACATAGTAGCTGAATGCAGTGTCGCCTCTAGTACGTAGTACATAATAGCTCAATGTCAAATTAATATTTTCTTATTCTTAGTAACGTATGTGCAATTTTGCAATGGATTTCTTATTTAATTGGGTGCGTATGGCAGAAAAAAGCGCTAGCAAGCGCTTACTAGCGCTAAAATAGTTTTCGGCCAGGACACGATTGCTACTTCAGTAGCGCTGACACAATCCGCCATTTTGCTTATTTAATTTGTTTGTTTTGAAGTAGAGTTTATAAGTTGTTTTTTTGCAATATTAGTTTTAAGTAATATAATGACATGAATAGACATACATTGTTATTAAAAATTGGTAAGTTTTTAATATGAATACTTCACAAAAATATATTTAAATTAGGTTAGGTTCCCCCGGTTAAATCTAACATCGTGTCCTAGAGGAAAATAGCTACTTACGATTTGACAGCGCTTACCGCTTACGATCGCCATTTTGCTTACAAGCACTTGCTAGCGCTTTTTTCTGCCAAACGCACCCATTATCTTTATGTTACGTGTTAACTTGCTTTCGTGTTTGGCTGTTTGTTTGTCATACAGTTCTGAACTATAATTCAAGTCTCCATAGCGAAGTTATTTTAAAATTGATTGCGAAATGTTTATTGAATGGGTAAACAAATATACAGACCAACAAGAAAGCGAGTTAATAAAAACGTGTTATTATAAAATGTAATACACTTTCATCTTTTCGCAACGGACTTCGTAATTTTAATAGCAACAACGAACTTTATAAATCGAGTGTTCATATCATACGTCAGTCAAACGCGGAGGAACAAATTGAGACAGTGTAAAAATAATACGGTATTGTATTAAAGATGAATCGGAATGATCGATCGAGGCAGGGCGTTCATTTTAATTTCGATTCCACGAGATAGGGCCCGGAGGCGTGGTCCGTCGAACAATTTATTTCATGTCCCTAGATACCTACCTTTAGTGCGCTGTGGAGGACACGAATAGTTTTTGTGTGAAGATTAAACTGTCGCTAGTGACACTCTTTTCGACACAAGGATAACGCTATAGATGAACACATACTACTTTGATGAACATGATCTTCATGATTACAATGTAAGTTTGAAAACTTGAAATTTACAGAGTGAAAATTAATTATTTTCATTATTTTATCAATGTGACATAATTTCATATTTTGATAACCCATTTTCACAGTATAATGTTGGTAGATAAAAAATCTGGATTCGAGTTATAAAAATTTATAATTACGGTATAAAATTCGTAGTGAGAGTTCTGGCGCCACCTCTTGGAAAGGCCAAAACGACGTCTGCCAGGCCAGTTATTTGTATAATATAACAACTTCACACTTCACACTTTCACATTAAAATCCAACAAAATGGTTATTTGTTATACGCAAAGATAGACGTATATCTTTATGTGAATTACTGGTAAAAACTAAAATGTACGCAAATAGCTGAACAGAAATAAAAATAACACCGGATACCGTTCAGTTCGCAAAGGAATGTAAGATACGTTGTCACTTAAGGGAATCAGTCAAAACTTTGTAAATCCAATATCTAAGTTTAGAGCGGGCACAAAAGCGCTGTACCGGGCTGCATAGAGGCGTGCGGCGCTCGATAGCGCCGACAGTGACGGATTACCCCCGGTAGCGGTTCACGGTCGTGCACCAACCATACCGGGCTGTGCTTATTGAGTTCGCGAAAGACACGTCTGAATAAGAAAACTGCGATTCTAACGCGATAGGAAAAAACATTCACGTTATCAGACTGTGATGCTTCTACAACGTTTGGTATACACTTTATTAATGTATTATATGAATTAAATTCTTGTTTAAATTGTTTCAAGCAAACACAAACTTTATATGTATTTTTCGCCGTGTACTGGCGGTGCAAGAGCATGCGCCACCTCATATTGTTTCTTGGATGCAAAGAGAGGTGACAGGTAGAAACAGAAGCAGGAGATGAGCAGCAGTAACTTCTAGAACAAAAATTAAAATAATAGACAACTGCGGTTGCCAACCGATAACAAATGATTTCTTATATTTACGCGAACACTACACATTGATTAAAACTACTTTTACGGATTTGTATCGCGTTTATTTTACTATTATTTTTAATTCCCACGTTGTGGGCGCTTTCCAGCACCCATGGTTAAACTGTTAAACACAACTATTTTAAATCATACCTTTCGCCTTGTTCTAGAAGAAAGTATGAATGATTAGATGAATAATTTTAAAGGCTTGAAAATTGTAACTATATTAACAAAATAAAGATTCTAATTTTAATTTTAGTAAATTGACATTCTTCATCTTTACTTGTCTATGTATTATACTATTCTATGATCTTTACGAAGTGGAAGGGGTTTGAATGTATTATTTCAAAGATAATGACTGCATTTTTTGAATAGAAAACATGAAGCCTTATTCGCACTGCGTCTGTTAATAATTAAAAAGGTTTGGAATAGAAATTATTGTTGTTTCTAGCATTAGCGTAATAGTAGGACATTTTTATAATATTTATACAAGTGTAATATTTATGTAAGTGTGCCAGAAGAGCGCTCAGGTCATTGGATTTGATCTGATCATCTATTTTTAGTATAAAAACAAAATACAGAATACGTTATTAGGGGCTAACGGAATTAACTATGGTGGAATTCCCCATTACCAGTAAATAGTGTCTCCGGCACCCGTTCACTCAGCATATGAAACACAGTAGCATTGTGGTGCTATTTTACTCTGGTTATAGTATGTCAGAACATGTTCCGGCTCCGTTCTGTATAATACAGGTATAGCGAGGCTCTATTAATGTATCATATATTAATGTATACGAGTATGCAGAATTTTACTTCAATTATAAGTATCAAATTACGACAAAAAGAATGACACTAAATCAGTTTCTCACGTTGTTTTTTTTTTTTTTAATAGAAATATGAGCAAAATATTGTAGGATGCTGCCTATATATAATCAGGTAGGTTAGCCTCAATTTGTGTAAGATAAAAGATATAGTGGACAGGAGGTCGTGTTAATGCGATGTTCGGTGCGCTCACCGCTCAGTCGGCGTAGCCCCCCGCAGTGCTCGGCAGGGGGCCGCTTCTGTACGCCGCTTGGTAAATTGTTATTAAATAAGGAAATATTTTCTATGACACGCTTTAAGATGTAGAACTTTGCTAAAAAGTAGAACAATGTAATAATAAAACTTTGTCAAAATTACAAGACGAGAAATCGGTATGTAGGATAAATAATTTTTTTGTGATTTAATAGGTGTAGCTGTCAATATTATTTCATTTATTCGTCTACCATGAGGTTTCAAAGAGCATTTCTGTATAGATTTGTTCTAGATTGTTTCAAATTGTTTAGTTTAGTTATTAAATGCAATTTGATCATTCAACTTGCTTTTGTTTTGGTCTAAAAGTATGCAAAGTTGACATTATTATCTCAATATTATAGAAGATGAATCTAAAGCATGATATATTGGCATTGGTACACCAGGTGAGGTCACATTCCCACAGGCGGTCGACGGATGATGATGGATCATCTAGTCCGCTCTTTGTTCCTTTCGATTCTGCTTTTTGTCCCGACGACAAATTTGGGGTCATTCAGTCTTTCAGTCAGCGATATTATGACGTTTTATTGTGCGAAAAAATCGAGCTACAACGTTATGGTTTTTATCCACAAGTTTTATTTAAAAAAAATAATATCTAATATGGGGCATGTGAGTTTAGTGTACTAAAATGTTCTCACTTGTAATTTGTGCTTATAGTGCATGACAAATATCCGTTCCGTTACACGGCGTGTTGTCGGTAGGTCGGTGGCGTGAATAATACCACCACCTCGTCGCTGCACCACTCCCACCACGCAACAGTCACGGACAAGAGACGTCGTCACCGCGCACAATTCAATATATTTCGGAGTAATTTGATGTTCATTAAAGAAACTCTGAGACCGTGAACCAGAACACAATGGTTGAATGGCCATTTGTTGTTGCCGTTGAAAGGAACAATAATAATTCCTTCGTTGTTATTCACGAGGCAGTTAGGCGCACTTACGAAACGAAGTCAATTAGTGGGGGACTGGCCATTTTGTACAGGTCACCGCCAAGTGATGATGACATTACGTAAAAAAATAACATAATATTTTATAGAAGAGAAAGCAAACAAGAATGCGGCTCACTTGATGGTAGGTGATCACCGCCACCTATTAATATATGCAACACCGAAGGAACTGCAGGTAAGTTGCCGACCTTTTAGAAATAAGTATGATCTTTTCTTGTCCCTAATTCATATCTGAAAAACCGTAGGCGACAGTAAGCTTTACAGTTTTGTGCGTGGTTGCGAATACCTCGTTAAACCACGATACAGTGAATCATCGAGGTGATTTGCATGGAGTTTTGCCGTTGTGTACGATGGTGACAGAATTAAGCAGCCTGAACTCAGTAGTATCATATCAAAACCTAGTACGTGACATTAAAAATGTTTATTCAAAATCTTATTAAGATAAAAAGTAATTTGCTACAAAAAGATGAAACCAACACTTGCAATGAATTCCTAAAAATAATCAGAAGTTTTAATATCTTTAATCCTTTACTATATTATGTATGATTAAAACCTTTCAAGTAATTCTTTGATTTATGTTTCATTGCTGTCTTGGAAAACTTTAGTACTTGTACTCAGCTTTCAAATGGGGCAGCGGATTTAAAATACTCGGCGCTTACCTTGTTGGCTGCTCTTTCTTGTCGTTTTTTTCTCCTTCATCCAGGGATACTCGGGAACGTTAAGACCACCGCCAGGGGAAGGTAGGTCAGGACCGTAACCGGGCGGCGTATGCTGTGGACTCAGTTCGCCTCCTCCTAATTGGGGGAGAGCCGTCATAAACTCCGCCATCGATGGTTGGCTGTTAATAAAGCCGGTTTCAGTGCAAGTTTCAAGCATTGGATGAGGAGCTCCGGCTGCAGTTACTGCTGCGAGCCAGAACCCGTTCCCGCCGTGTTCCATCCGGGCGTGTTCCGGTCCGGGCGCGGGTCCCATCGGTGGTGTGTTCCGCGTTTTGACCGCAAACTCCTCTTCCATTTCATCACGTACCCCCATCCCAACTCTGGTTGCCTGTTTGCCTCTGATTGGAATCTCTTCGCATTTTATCTTACGCATCAAGGGGTTACTGTCGAGTGGCAGAGCGGCGGTGTTGCATATTTCTTGCATCTCTGCCTCTATCACCCACTGTCCATAGGGCGATCATTCACGTGTTGTTTGCGATTTCCGTTTCGCAGCATGCGCTAACATTTTCGCTCGTGTACTCAGATTATATTATGTAGATCAATTTGCACGCACGCAGGCAGGTTAGGTCATATCTGAAATGAAACGAAATTGGTCAGTATTATAGACACATAGCGGACAATACATAAAAAACGTTGTCAAATTTATGGTTATATTATATTTGAGATTCTTTACAAAATGGTTCCCAATATTGCGTCAAATTCAGCGACGTTAAATTAAATGTAACAGGAGGCCGTCTCGTGGTTATTTTGCAATTATTCGCGGACGTTCGACATTACCGCAGTTTTGTGCTGAATAATTTGAGCCAAAGCCGTGATGAGACCGCGAATAATGAGCGCTCAGAATTGTTTATTGTAATTTAGCGGCCATCATGAAGTGTGTCTCACGTAATACGGGCTCAACAATAAAGTTATTAAAATTGTCATGAACTCAACGGAGACACAAAAGCAGTGAATGAATGTGTAAATTAAAAAAGTTATAAAGAGAAGAGCGAAAAATAGAAAATTACGATTTTCATGCGATAATTTGTAACAAAGGAATTAAAATCACGGAACAACATTATTTTTTCTGTTTTAAAACGATTGCTGTATAAACATAAACTGTTATAAAATCTGTTTCCATATTTTATCACCATCGTCACTGCTACATTATGATGATGAAATATGAAATAAGAAGAAACATGAATTGAATACAGTATGAAAGACTATAACCACAGGTGTAAAAATATGTTTACCAAATTAAGTAAGAATTGAAGTTTATGTAAAGTTTTTTGTGACAGATGACCTTAAAGTCCTGAAATTATCTAATGGTAAGTGGCTACTGATGTCCATGGTCACTTTTAATCTATTTCTCTTTTTCTCTTTTCATTATATCTACAACTATTGATCCGCCCTGGCCTCGCACGGGTGATTTCCGGGTCTCGACAACTGCGCCATCTAATAGGCTCAAATTTGAATATAAATCATTTAGAGACCCATTAAAACACACAAAACATTTCATCAAATTCAGTTAGATGGTTTCAAAGTCTATAACGGACATAGGTAGAATTTTTTTGTGTTTTATATTATAGTCTAAAATAAGATATTAATATAAGAAAAGATACTGGCTTGTAATCAACACTGCGACATTAAAACAACGCATTTAAAAAAGACAACATTTAAAACGAATCCTACTACAATTCCCACCAGAGTTACACAATCGTACTGCTGTTCATTCAATGATAAAAAAGTTTCTTTCTTTTTGGTTGTCGGTTCTTGGAATATGTGTCAGTAATTTTTAATAAAAGGTTTACATCCCAAGGTGATATTTCATACCTCACACTTTGTTTTATACTTTTTAAATAATTTACTGAAAAAATTAAAAAAAAAAAACATTTCATGGATATATGGTTTGATTTTATTGGTTGCAACTTGTTGAACTAGCGTATACGCACTACATATACACCCCTACTCACACTAAAGTCCAAAAAATTACGTTTACATCGAATTCAAGCTTTCCACTCCAGTTGAATGTCAATTAAAATTCAAAATGCGTACGAAATACGATTTTTTCCACTGGAATTTGCGGCGCACCCCGAGGTATGACGGGATCGCGCCTTTTTGTTTTATTTTCTTTTTTTTTTCAAAATGGGACGGCTGGTGGTTAAACCTATTTTAATGCGTGCCGGTTGCTGTGTGCTCTGAATTAAAATTTACTGTACGTACGTCACCCGTGCGAGGATCGGACAATGATATGTAATTTCCTTTGATAAATTAATGTTGTCACTAACTTATGTTCACATTTTCGTGCACTGATATGAGTTTATCGAGTAGTATTGAGATTGGGTCTTGATAATACAGACATAATTTATAATAGCATGTAAATATGCAGAAGTTATGAAATTTAACTTATAAATTTCCAGAGGAAATATGACGTCGTGTCCGTATTGACCTGACATTATAATTATTTTATTGTACACTAATACAGTTTAATATTAAGGCCCGTACGTAAAGTTGGTGCAATGGACGATCATACTCCATTGTTAATGATGTCTTTTAAATAATATTGTACACAGTGAACTGATGTAACCAAAGAATAATAAAGGGGTAGTGTATTTCATCATAAACGTATATACAAGGAAAATGGTTGGTGGCTTACTATGCTTACTTGGTAGAGCCATGCTGCAGATATAGTAGTAGTATAGTTGTAGCACGAATGGGTCGGCTCGCCCGGGGAAGGACCACGCCCTCACAGAATACCAGCGTAAAATAGTAGCCTAATGCTGCTGTGTTTCATATGGTGAGTGTAGAGAACCGGAGACCCCTTTTACTGCAAACGACGCATTCCATCTTAGTCATCACGGGCGACAACGCATCTGCATTTTGATTTGTAATCGAGATAGATGTAGATGTCATGGGCCGTAGCAACCACTTACCATCAAGTGGACTGTGTGCTCGTTTGTCACCCTATCCTATAAAAAAAAGTTAAATAGGTTTTTATGATGCGTGCTAGAGGCTACAAGGCATATGATAGCTGCGTAAGCTACCAAACGTACACACCGTACCCCCGCGTACCTGGGCGGTTCTCACCGACAGAACATCGACCGACACGAACTAATAGTCACAGGCAGTCAGTAAGTCCGCACTTCCCCACTCGGTCAGTGGTTAGACAGCTCGAAAAACCCTTACAAAGGGGACATGATGAACATTACCAAATCATAAACCATCAAAATCATCAACCTCATCATTATTGCCTTTTTAAACCTGTATCAATTGAAGCTGTAAGAGCCGTATAAGACAGAAAATAGACGCTACCAAAGGCGAGTATGGGAATCGTCTGAAAGATCTTAGGGTAGATAACCATATCACCAACTACCTATTACGCCAGACGAAAAATACAAAGGCTCGTGACGGGGAGAAGCATAAAAGGTGCGATATGTTTGGTAGGTACTGCAAAAACTTATACATCTGCCTTGTTTTTTGCGCCCTCCTTTCTGCCAAGAAGGGTAGCGTTCATATACGGCTTAGAGATCTCTAGTTAGAACGTTAAACCAGTCCCTAAAAGGTGGGGTTTAGTGGGTAAAAGTCTCCACATAACCAAGCAGCCGGCTGCGTGGTATGCTATGAGCATTCCCCCGCTTTCCGGAGGGTTGCCCATATTTGCTTCGGGCGCAAAAAAAATCTGCCTTGTTGTTAGGGCAGATTATCACTATAACGTAGGAGGCCCATGTATGATAACTGTCAAGAAGTTAGTGAACAGTGAATAAGACCATGTTTACAGTAAGCGATAAAACCTTTAAAGTATAAATAAAAAAGTGTAAAATAAATCTATTAATTTATCGCTTTTGAGCTAGAAGTGTTTATGAAATTCTAATAAATTGTAGAATTCTTATGAAACTCGCATAAGGATATGAATAGCAGTCGAGTAAAGAAAGTACTCTATGGCTTTAATAAAATTATGAAAATATTTATTGAATATTACTTGAGGATATGCAAATGGGCTAGTAAAAGTTTTAGTAAACGACATTTTACACAAAAGTGATTTTTTTCATTTATGAAGCTCATGTAGGAAGCAAGCTGGCGTCAAATAATTTAAACTGTATTGAATGCTCGCTTGTATTTCCCTCGTGTTTCTTGGGGTGTCGTAGGTTTTACGGTGCGTTTCACATTCACCGGTTATCCCACGAGGGAGAGCCGTTTTAAAAACGCATAAAACCGAGAGCGTAGCCTACTTATGAATTTGTTTATGGCGCTATTTTGAAGTAATGGCGACGTTGAAGTCAAAGCTTAAAGCTTACGGATAGCAATTTTCCTAATTTAATGTTCTTAAATTTTCATTGATATAAACTGTGTTCCAGTGGATTTGTTAAAATACTTTAAGTTTTTATATGCTTGAATATAATTTGACGAAAATTATACACATTCCGTTATATTCAACTATATCTGAAATGGGTTGTTGGTTTTGTTAGCATTTTTATGAATACATTCCAAGTTCTGGAGCTATTTTGAAAAATTTATGAGCAAAATTTCTTTTTTTCTTTGTTTGGTTTCTTTGTTTCAAGCACTACTGTAAATCCAATATCATTCTGATGGTTTTTATTAGGGGGAATCCACATAAATATGAATACGGAGACAAGTTCGGCACAATCGATTTGCAGGGTTGTCGGTTTATGGAACTTCTTCTGAACTGAACTGAACTACTATGGATATTGGCACGTTAGTCGATCAGATTTCAACTTGTATGTCGTCGAAGCCGACAAATACAGACGAAGACTGTAGCAATTTTACGCATTTATACTTCTGAAAGGAAATCATTATTTAAAAAAAAGTTTTATCCTTTTATTAGTTTTGATAAAAGCAAGTAGTTTAGGTTATTGACGAGCGAGTGAGTGAAAGTGAATCAGCGAATCAATGAGTGTTAAAATAGCACTTTTGAGACCTTAATTATTCAAAAAGGTTCATTCATGAAATATGGGATTCTAGGTGTTTAACGAGGCCTTATTGAACGTAAAAATTGAAAAGTGTGTAGGTGATAATAATTTTTGATATTAAGTGAGGTCCGAAAGTACTTTAAAATGGTTCATGTAAACGTACAAAAAAGTTTGTTACACTGTCTGACACATTGTCGTGTGTCTCGAATGAGTTGATTCCGTAGTTTTTTAAAAAAACAAAAAGCAAACTTACAATAAATCATGAAATAGGGCACAGAGAACAAACTGAATTGTATCCAAATCTATTAAATGATATTTCTTTTGTTTAGTGGTACGACTACGATAAGCACCAAAATACATTTAAAATGTTTTCTTACTGGTTGCTTTTATTTAAATCTGCCTGCAACATATATTTACGATAATATCAAAATTTGAAGTTAAACTTTAAGGAAATAATACAAAATTTAAAGACAAGCAGTTTAGATAAAAAAAAAATAAAGAAAAGACACCGCAGAGT